AATTGATGGGTGTACCAATAATTTCGTCGATGATCTCTCTCTCTCTCTCTCTCTCTCTCTCTATATATATATATATATATATATATATATATATATATATATATATATATATATATATAATTATTTATTTAAAAATTATAACATAAATATGTTATAAAATCACTACAAATATAGCCATTTTGTTCCAACACATCCGGTGTCTTATCAAGTGATAATGTTGAATGTAAAATAAATGGTTTTAAAAGTTTCAAATTATTTAACGATCCTTCGCAAGGGGAAAACGCTATTACAAAAGCTAGAATGACCAACCAAAACACAAGTATAGGAAAATTCAAAACACTTGACAACGAAGTATGGTTATAATAGCTATTAAGAGCTTTAAAGTTGGGGTTAAATTAAAAAGAATTTATATATATATATATATATATATATATATATATATATATATATATATATATATATATATATATATATATATATATATATTGCACTTTAAATGTCTGTTTGTTACCAAAACTTTCACAAAATATCACCATCCTTACGATATTTCTAATAATAACTAACGTTTGTTTTTTTCTTCGTTTGTGTGCGTGGAGTGGGGGATTATAATCGCCAAAAAAAAAAAAATGAAAGCTACAACAGAAAAAGAAACAAGAAATAATTCCATGTTTTACCTCTTGCCAAAAAGCTTTGATTCAAGTTTTGCGATATATTTTTATCGTTTTCACGTATTTTTTTTTTTAATGTTTTTTGGGGTTTTTTTTGTTATTTTTAATGTCCAATCTAATTTTGCTTCGACAACGAACAATAAGCGGCATTGTCGATATCTTTGCAAGCAGCAAATGGATAACGGCCAAAAAGTACGCAATGATAGAACAACAACAAACAAAAAATTAAATTGAAATAACTTTCACACAAACAAGATCGGAATAATAAAACCAGATAATGACCTTCCCGAATTCACGTTTTCACAAACATATGTATTCAGTCGGTTTTTCCGCCGATCTGTGAGTACGTGTGTGTGTATGTGTTTTTGTGTGTGTGTGTGTGTGAAAGAGAGAAAGAAACAAAACAGTCTTTATACATTATTGTTATCTCTAAATAATAATAATAATAATAATAATAAGGAAGAAGATTCCCATTACCGTTATTTTGTCCAGATAAAGATAAGTAATGTCAAGAAGTTTCTACAAAGCCATCTTAGTTACCGATGCCGTCGAAAATAGCAGCAGATAGGAAACAGATATTTCCGTAACTGCTCACCATTCCCAAAATCTTGATTTCCGAATACGAGTCTTTTCACAAATATTTTTCCAAATTTTTAATTCCTTTTTTTTTATCCGCCATTATTTCTCATGGTAAACGTAATTTTTTAGTGTGTATACATATTTGATTTCCTATCCTCGTTTTTTTTTTTTTTTTTTTTTTATGAGTAAAATTCAAACAACCGGCCTCGATTAAGAATGAAAGATTCTGCCGTTCCAACAGGAATCGAACTTGTACCTCCTTTTCCATGAGTAGAAATAAAAGTGTTTATGGAAATTGACTTCTAAATTTGATTAATAACCTGAAAAAACTACTGTAAACATAAAGCCAACTTTATGTCTATGAATGACTAATGATTTTCAATAAGCTATCAAGCACTTAGCACTCTATATCTTTATGTTGGCAGTTTTACATAATTATTAGTAGTAGGCTTGTCTCTTAGCCTCTAGCATTTGAGCCTTCCCAATAGGAATAGAACATCAGCAGCTTACAGAGCAACTATTTCAGCTATAATAAATATATTAAAAGAGAAAGAATATTTAACCTAAAAATATTAACAAATGTTGCATGACATTATCAAAATAATCATATAGCCAAAGTCTAAAAGGCACACTCTAAGGCTCCACATCAGTGACACAGGCTGACTGTTGTTAGAAGAAAAAGAAAATAAGCTAAAAATTGAATTTTTTTCTCTTGGTCTCCTAGTTGTACAATTTTATTGAGTGAATGAAACAAACACCAATTTATTAATTACCAAGTCACATTATCACCAAAGATTGATTGATTTTTTTTTATGTTCATGAGAATCAATACAGTGTCTGCATCGGATTCAGCTGGTAGAGCATATAATCCTTAAAATGTCACCTGTTAAGATTTTTAAAATAACACTTTATAAAGGGCTGCTGGAAAGTTCTAACCAAGAAGAGATGCTACAAGAAATTCAAATGTTTTTTCAATTGATCAGATTTTTTTTAAGTGAGAAGGGCCAAGAACTTTTCTTTATACTTGATGACAATGGCAGATGTGTAAAAACTATACATTGCTAAATCTTATTTTTTTTATTAATTTGTAATGAAGACATTACTTCATTTATGAAAGCATATCTAAATTTCCCATTTTGCTTCTCTATATTTTTAGGCTAAAAACTGGTTATTTTAAAATAACAAAACATTTACTGTCCCTTTTATCATAAGTGCTGACCAAACCTATTTTAATTAACTTTTGTTATTCATGTGAAACACATTTGTCAAATAGGATTTGTAGTATAATTGGCCATGGTTAAATGTAATTGGCAGAAATTCCCAACAAACAGAATTGACAAAGCTTACAATAAACAATAACAAAGAAAAGAACTGAACAAAAATAATACTAAGCAAACAATTCAAGACAAAATTATACAAAGCAACAGTAATGAAGCAAGAAAGTTCACAAATTAAGAATGGTGTTAACACTCGAAAGGGATACAAAGAAATGATAACAGCGTTCTGAGTTGAAATCAAGAAAGGACAGAACTAAGTTGGATGAGACGGGGAAGTGGCCTATCTTATTGGCTCAGAAGAAATCCCAGCATGCACCTGTATGTTTTGTCTATAAATTTGAGGAGGGGATGTTTTTGCAGTCATTTCCTATTGAAACCAACAGGATTACTTGTTGTATCACTATTGGGCAAACATCAAAATTACATCAAGGTTGATATAAAAGACTAGGAAATAACACAATATTGATTCCATAGATTGTTGTGGATTTTTAATATGATCATTGGTTAATTTCATTGAAAAATTACAATAGAAAAATTACTTTCTTTGTACATTTTTTTTAATCATATCCCCCATGCAAAGCAGTAAAGTCACTAAAACACAAGGGCTTACTCTGTGTAGAAGAACAAGTAAAAAGCGAAACATTAGAGAGTGAAAAGACTAGAAGAGTAATCAAGACAGTAGATAAGGATTGACATTGCATTTAAATATTTTAAGGTCAAAGTTGGCTGGAAAATCTGCAACCAGAATATTTCCATGAACAAAAGGTGTGTGAAAAACTGTTAGCATAGAATTTAGTTACATCTTGCTAATTCAATTGTGAATTGATGAGACCTTACTGCCAATCTAGTGCTGCACTTAAATTCATAAAGTCTAGGTACCATAGCAAAGAATTCATCAGAACAATTACCGTGAAAGTATGTAAAGAAAAGACACATGGAAACTACATTCTGGTGGGAAGAAAGTGACTGAAATTGAAATGCCAGGTCAGGAACAATAATATTGCTGATTCTTCTAAGAATCTTTAAATATATGGCAGGAGCTTTAGATCAGGAAAGTAAGAGACAGCGAGGTATTTATTGTACAGTTTAGAGAGAACAGGAACCAGTTCAGAAGCACATTTCTGATGGACTATTACAGGGATACCATTAAGTTCACATGAATTGATTTGCTAAGTGATTGATCTACTTTATCTGTTATCTGAAAGTGCATGTGCATAGTCACAAAGAGCCATATTATTATTGTTTGAAGCTCCTGCTATTTATTGTTTGATATCCAAGTTTCTATAAAATACCCAGAGTATGAGTCCCACTATTTTACCATGCCTAGCTAGTATAAATACATGAATTCTCTTAATACTGACTCTCTAAGAAACCCATCTACTCATCAGAATGCATGCAGACAGCACTGCCTTATACAGGGTGCTTGGAAAGTCATTATGCACTTATATTTTTATTAACAGACTTGTTTCAATATAGAACACAGGAGGAGAATATCAATGATAATTATAAACAATGTTGAAAGTAAAGCTCGTTAGCATCAATACAGTCACTTTTCATGATCAATTGCTTTCAGTTCTTGTACCACTATGTATTTTGTATGGAAAGAGTTTTAATTTTTGTCTAATGGTATTATGAGCAGTTCCAAGACCAATATATTGCTGCTGCACTAACTTTTATAATGATTTTCTTGGACTCTGCTGTATACTGTCAGAAATGTCCAACATCTTTGCTGGCCTTCCACAACATTTGTCATCGTCCACTGATCCTGTTTCCAGAAATTTATCAACAAGGTTACGAATTGCATTGTGATGTAGAACAGATGTATCTGAAAATTTATCAGCAAAACTCTGTTGCACCAAATCTGTATATCTACTACCTTCTCAAAATACATGTTCTTTAGTTGTTAAAACCATTTTTGGATAAATCTGAAATCTGAAAAATATGATCAAAAAAGTGCACAGTAATTTTCTGAACACCCTGTACTACCGAATTCTCTTGACAGCTTTCTGTTACAGCTGAAGCTCATAAATGCTGTTCATGTTCCTTTTTGATAAATAATATCTGAAGTTGATATACCCAGACATTTTGAAGGTTGTCAAATACACTTATATATTTGAATTGAAACTTTTTAGATTTATCAGTTCAATCAATATGATTGAAATGTTGCATTTAAATTTTTGAAGTTTGTTGTTATTAGGGAAGCAAGTATGCGGAAGGGAGTGCCACTATGGGGAAGTGCGAACAAAGAAACTCTTAGAGTAGAAATGGCGGTTGAACTTAGCTATTTCAACATTAAAAAAGTGGGACCTAAATGCCAATCTAGTAGCACGCATAAATTAATATACTCGGGGCACCAGGGGAAAAAAGCTTGTCAACCGCTATTTTAGTGGTTAGACATGTGTAAATAGATATCTGTCAATTTAGAAACCTTAGAAGTAACATCTACCGGCCTAGATCATCGAATTAAAGAAAATGTTTGAAACACTGGTTCTCGACTGATCACCAAATATAAGCAACATTGAGCTTGATCAGTACCGAGATGGGTAACCACTTGGGAATACCAGGTGCTGTAAGCTTGGATTTGTGTGTGGTATATTGGCTCTGAATAAGAGATCGGAGTGTTCAGCTCAAATTTCGGTCCGGATTGTTACATACTCTAACGCGCAAATTCCCTTGAAAAACGTACGAATCAACATCTTCTCCCCCAGCTATTGATTAAATAGTAGGATGTAATTAAAAAAACTATTCCCTTCCAAAAACTAATAAGACAACATTCATTCGCAAAATGAAAACAACTATACATAAAATAAAATAAACAAAAAATATTCGTGTTTAAATAACCTGAGAGAGGTTGATAAGACGTAAATAATAACCCATCAATGAATAAGATCTTAAAAGAGTATTTGTTTCTTTTCCATCTTCATTTGGGACATGGCTTTCCTTCCTGCACAGCAAAAAGTGATTTGAATTGATGGCAAAATATAAGATGTAAATAGATTTATCAGGGATAAGAAAATCTCTATCTCTGTACACAGACACACAAATTTTCTGTTTCCTTGCTACAAAACTTTACTTGATAGAGAAAAAGGTCTTTGTGATTTTAATTAGCTTTCACTATCCATGCGTTAAATACTTAAGCAAATATTTTGTCTCAAATCCCTGACAACTTCTCGATTCGAAAATCCCCAAATAAAGCGAATCCTAACATGATTGATGTAAAGCTTAACATCTTTAACGGCCAATCAATAATTACTAACCAAGAGGCCAAAAAAATCTTATCGAGTGCTAAGAAATGCCGGGATTTAAAAACGTCTTTGACAGATTATCTGCCAATGTGAACGGGTTAACAAATAATGACTTTCCCAAAAGACCTAGAAAACAGAATATTACGCCGTTATATGGCAAAAAAGAGCCTACTATGAAGACTTTTTACGAAATTTTACAGATTAAATGTTAGGATGCGTATTATACGAGAGAATGAAATATTAACATTTTTCGTATCCTTCGCCAGATTTGGGATAATATGACCGAAAGTAATTTTATGTTTTCGAAAGTAACTAATGACCAAACATTGTTTTTGCATTTTAATTATTTACATTGATATAAAGGGTATTTTACTATTCGCCACTGCTGTCCATGTTAGAGGTTATTTACCTCATCACCCCATGAGGCTGGATGTGGCACAAGGCCATTATTTAGTGCGGGGTAAATCCAAGTCCGTAGGCTCGGGCAAAAATTCCCCGTAGACGCCGTAAAAACGGGGGTCGGGTAGCAGTCTACGACCCCAGACGAGACTCTGCCCTCCAGCAAAGCCTCGTTTGGGTTCTTCTCTGCCCAAAGGCAGAGAGTTCGACCAGCTTAGTTGATATTTAAGTATATTAATATATAGTGTTACTAGATGAAAAGCAGTAACACAGTTGTGGTTCAACAAAATAATGCTGAGAATAGCATCGACGGATCATGTCAACAACTTGGAATCTTTTATTTTAATAATAAGGTTCACCTTTTACAAGTCCCGGGGAGCACTCGAGGCAAAGGGTCAAGTTAGGAGGTCATTTGGATGTATAGAGTGGAAGATAGTGGGTACACCTAACCTTGGACAGGTTAATATTGTATTGATCTTGGAAACATCCTAAACATTAAGTAAAATAGAAACAAGAACTCTTATACTTAGAATAAGTATGCGATATTTAAAACATTTGGTCCGCATAATGAAGAAAGTGGGTTTGACACTCTCGGGACCTATTGAAAACAAGAGGAGCCGAGAAAAACAAATAGACGCCAACTCAGGGTGTGGTATTGATACTATGATATGCAGTATTATTGTAGGGATGTATTTAAAATCTTGTAGGGTATTATATAAAAAATACCCTGTCTTAGCTGTCAGCTAATCTAGCATAGTTAGTAGCACTCGACAGAACTAGTCGAAACTTTAGACACGGTAGATACTGGAGGCATGGTGGAGTAATATTTAGTGGTGCGGATTGAGGAATCGGAGAGCCGAGTTCGAATTCCAGTCGAATCCATTACATTCACTTACATGCTAATACATTCGGAAAGTTATGAATCCTATTCTTCTCCCCCCAGCTATGGATAAATAGCAGGACAGACCGGGTTATATAGTTTTCTACCGCAGAAAGAAATGGCAACCTAATGCTGGAAAAAACTGCCAAATCCTATCGAAAGATAGATGTGTCTCGCATGTCACATAACTGACTGAGATATGGTAGTAGGTCAGAGTGTCGATAGGACAAAGTTTTGAATGGACAAAGTTCCGAAAGGATATTGAGTCGAACGGACAAAGTGCCGAGCGGATAAAGAGTCGAAATGATTAAATAAAATTAAATCACGAATGGCTATAATGTTGAAAAGAAAAAATTTCAAAACGACAAAAGGAGAAAATTAATGAACACAGTAAAAACGAACATATTGTCATGATTTTAAAAACTCGACTCAAATAATCAATTAAGCTATTCTAAATATTTTATTGCTTAACTTGCGCTTCATTTATTAAATAATAGCCTTAATACTAGTAAGCCTCCATAATCATCGGTTATTGGTCCTATTGTGGCGGGTGGGTGTCGTTCATTACGCTCAATTTTTTTACCAAATTCAGTTGAGAGTTTTCTCATATATGTTCGACACTTATTTCCGCTCAGTACTTTCTTCATTCGCCATTTTGTTCGTTCGATACTTAGTCCGTTCAACACTTTATCTGATCAACATTTTGTTCATTTATCATTTGGTCTTTCGACACGGTCCCTAGGTACTTTCTCCTGCGACCCTCTTGTCTGAGAACAGGTATATACCAAACACGTCATGACCAATAACTAGTCACATAAAATTTTTGAATAAGAATTGTACAACGAGGATAGACAAATATTTCAAGTAATAATCAACCGCCTTACCTTTATTTAAAGGCAGAATTTTTCTCGAATACTGACAATCACTCATTATACATTCGGAAAGTTATGAATCCTATCATGCAATGTTTAACTGGTTCCCTTACATTGTTCATGTTAATAAAGTGGACATTATTTTTCAACCCAACTTTTATTTCTCTTGATGCCTCGTGTTTATATGTTTGGAAGTTATTTCATGTGCGGAGACGTTATTCAATAAAATTTTTAAGATCTACAAAGCATAGAAAGTTGTGGATAGCTATAAGCACCCAGACTCGGCACTTAAGATTCTTGGATTCCAATATCTGTGGACGTATAAAGAAAAAGCTCTAATATAAAATTTATGATTGGCCTATGGAATGTATTTTTTGTTTATAAACCAAAACTAAAATGGATAGCACAAGTAACTAGAAAAGAAAATAATGATATAATCAAGATGCTGACATTCCACACTACTTCAAATAAAAAGTTAGTTAGGAAATACACATCAATATCTGAGTCTGGCTATATTTTTGAGATGAGGTATTATGTACATTATTTACATTATTCGGACTATTGTCCTCATCTTTGTCGCCATATTTATCAGAACGTTTCGGCCGTTGTACACTCCAGGTGGTTGGAATTCCGAGCGAAATAAAGGGATCGGTTCGAAATTCCAACCACTTGAAGAAGGCCGGAGTGTACAACGGCTGAAACGTTGTGATAAATACGGCGACAAAGATGAGGACAATAGTCCGAATAATGTAAATAATGTACATCAATATCTATCTATATAATACTAAATGTCTGGGCCCCCGTGCTTGTGTGGTAAGTCCTCCGGTACATACTAATTTACGATTTATTTATACAGTAAGTATTTTTATTTTTTCTTCAAACAGATAATTTTTTTTTAATTAAAATAATAGAGTAATATAATAAGTTAAAGACAGACATAAAGAGATGACGCTTTGCCGTTTCGTCCAGTTTATTTCATTTATGTTTTCTGTAGAGTAATTATTTATATTTGAAATATTTAAAAAAAGTTTTAAGTTAATCTGATTTAAAAAAAAATGAAGCGAATAAGATTTAAAAAATACGAGTTGTTCATGCAGTAAGTATTTTTATTTTAACTTTCTTCAAAGAGACAATTTTTTTTAATTAAAATATTTTCAAGATAAAAAAAAAAACAAAAAGAAATCCCGCATTGCTCTTTCGTCTTGATATTTTTAAAGTAATTATTTATATTTCAGCTCTCTTTGAACAAAGAATATTTTAAATATATAAAAATATTTTTTTGCATATTTACAAAAATATTTTTCGAGTAAATAAGATTTAAAAATACAAGTTGATTACACAGTAAGTATTTTTATTCCAACTTTCTTGAAACAGACAATTTTGTTAATGTCGAAATCAAGTTCAATGTTTTATAACCTGAACCGTCAGTGACCCAACGGGTCACGAGTGGTCTAGTAGGAAATAAATATAACAGCTACTGGACTTGGGAAAACATTTTGTTTTAATCATTTCACTACAAGGAAGGTAATAAAGCCACGAAGATGCAAGGGGTTACTAGGTGTTAGAGAGTATAAGATAAAAACACCATTAAGGAGAGAGAACAATAAAAGAACAGGAATTAAGAAGACAGGAGATAACAATTGACAATGCTTTTAAATAGAAACCAAGAAAACGGAAGAATTCCAAAAGCGAAAAGTGCTATAGAAGAAAATTTAGAATAGAATTCATCTGTAAAATGTTGTGAATTAGCTACCTATCTAATACTGTACTTAAATTATAACGTCTAGACAGCACAGTGGAATGTTCATCAGAACAATTACCAGATAGAAAAATCACAGAGAAGCTACGTTACTGTGGTGGGAAAATGACTGAAGCCGAGATACCACGCCAATAATATTGCAGATAATTGTTTGGATTTTATCAAGAATCTTTAAATAAATAGCATGAGCACCTGATCAGATGTATTAGCAATAGCCAAGCATGGACTTATAAATGTGTAAGATATTTTCATGGAAATTTGTCTTAAGAGGAAGATTTTACAAATTACAGAAGTACTGGCTGCTCGGTGAAAGAATGCCAAATGTTTCCTTATAATGATACGGCCAAGATTATTATTAACGTGAAATTACAAAAAGCTTAAAACCATTTAACACTAACAAGGTAACTTTTTTTTCTTTG